TCCATAGAAATCCAAGGTACACCCAAGGGATTTATAGTCAGAAATATGCTCCTTGAACAGCATTAAGAAGGTTCCTCATATGACCAGCTTTAAAGTTTCCCCTGTCGACTCAGTAAGCATTCCAAGACCGTCTTGTATAGATTCGAACAAATGTCTCAAAAATCAGAAATCCTTGGGACCAGCAGTTAGCGGTTATGTCGCTGGACTCCCATGTAGTCAACCACAGTTCAAGTCCTGGACCCAGTGGCTTAAATTCACGCTGGGCACGTGTCGGTGCGTGCCCAAGATCCTGAGAGGAGAATGGAGGAGAAGGGATTGAGATGTGTCCATCGTCCCTGGGGGGTGACTTCTCGCTTTTTCCGTCTCTCTCTTTCTGGCAAGCACACGCATCCTATAGCAAAAACCTCTCAAAAAAAAGAAAAAATCCAGAAATCCTTCAAACCCAGTAACCAGAACCCCTACCCAAAACTAGTTTGTCTCAATTTGACCAAAAGATTGGATCCTTCATAAACTGTTGACACCACACCTGCTCTGCCAGGGTCTCACAGAGAAGCCTATACTTGGAAGAAAGCCCCATCCTCAGGATCTATGCGCACTCAGCATCTTTCCTTGATACCTTTCTTCTGCAACAAGCTTCCATTGTGATGGACACTAGAAAAATATGATGAAACATCTCAATAAAATACATTACCTTTTCTAGCCTGGTCTAATGTTCCAGCAAGCATGTAGGTGTGCATTATGACCTTCATTATGAAATCTCCACTACTGTGAAGAGGCTTCATACTTACTAGGAAATATATTTCTTCCTAACTTAAAAGGAAAAAAAAAAATGCATTCCTTTCAAATCATGAAAGACATCTTATTTTTTTTATTTTTATTTTTGGAGAGGTTTTTGCTATAGGGCGTGTGCACTCGCCAAAAAGACAAGAGAGAGACAGAGAGACAGAAAGCAAGAAATCACCCTCCAGGGGGTATGGCCACACCACAATCCCTTCTCCTCCATTCTCCTCTTGGGATTTTGGGCATGTACACACACACGCCCAGCATGAGTTTAAGCCACCAGGTCCAGGACTTGAAACACAGTCGACTACCTGGGAGTCCAGTGATACAGCCATTATGCTAACTGCTGGTCTCCTTAAATGATTTCTTAACTCTTAATTATTCCCTGGGAGGGTTACAAAAGCCCACGAAGGGGTTTAGAATAAATCCATTCCTTGTGCTGTAAATTCTAAGATATTATTTGTTACCTGATTTATTAATGTAGCCCACAATACTTTTAATGAAGGTTTAGAATAAATCCATTCCTTGTGCTGTAAATTCTAAGATATTATTTGTTACCTGATTTATTAATGTATGAATACTTCCATGTTTGTTTCCAGACCAATCATCACTTAGAACATTTAAGTAGGATTTCGTCATTTGGTCAGTAACACAGGTGAGGGCAAAACTTAAAAGAGCTTCAAAGAATTCCAGGAAAACCAGCTGAAATATAAGAAAGCATAGAGAGTCTCATTCATTCTGACACACTCGGAGGTATACTAGTGATTGATGTGGGTATTTATTTCTTACTCATTTTTTTCCTGGCATCTGAAATATCCTTCTTTTTAATATTGATCTCTAGTTTTCTAATGCAGTCAATGACCTATATATAGTTTTATGTATTTTGGTTCAGATTATTTTCAATCCAATCTTGGTTCCTGGTATCCAAGGCAAAATAAACAACATAAATTGGATCTGCACCATTTGCAGTACCTCTCTACAAACCTCAAGTTCGAAGCTGCTGTCAATTCCATCATGTATGAAAGGGTTATCCTCCGCTATTACTGCTACGAATTTGGTTGCTGTTAATTCTTTATTTATCATTTTAAAGTCCTGTAAAAGAAACAACCAACCAAACCATAACTGCCTGTAATTACAAACAGCTAGGCATTTTAATGTCAATTTCTATCATTACAACACTTTAAGAAAATGTACCAGAAATTAATATCTTAAAAACTGATCATTTTGAAAAGCATTCTGGATTAACATTGGTATTCACCTCTGTATCTCTTCCTAATCCCTCCAAAATAATAGTGCCGGATTGGTAGACTCAACAGAACAGAGGGAGAAGAGAGCTCAGAGGGTCAAGGAGAAAGTCACTTTGTGCTGCAGGAACTCAGGGAGGACAGGCATCTCTGGAAACTGTGGTATAGGAGGGCCGAACACAGGAGGACTAATTAATGTCTAGGTAAGAGACCTTTCCACATAGAAGCTGAAGACAGTTTAATCCTTTAATCCTTTTTTTTTTTTTTGAGACTTTTTTTTACTATATGGCGCATGCACTCACCAGAAAGACAGAGAGAGACAGAGAGAGACAGAAAGCGAAAAATCACCCCCCGGGGGGATGTCCATACTGCAATCCCTTCTCCTCCATTCTCCTCTCGGGATCTGGGGCATACACGCACACGCGCCCAGTGTGAGTTTAAGCCACTGGGTCCAGGACTCGAACTGCGGTCAGCTACGTGAGAGTTTAGCGACATAGCCATTACACTAACTGCTGATCCCAAGACAGTTTAATCCTTAGAAATACTGAACCAGACAGACTTTGACCTTAAATACACTGAATCTCCTAAAGTAATAGAACTATGCTAAAAACAAGGATTAAGTAAAAATGAGTCTTGGTAAGGCCTTTCTGTCATACTCAACTCTGCCCTTCACTATGTTCTAAGAAAAACAGGTACAGATCCCCTATGCAGGAGTTAGGAGAAGTCCTCTCAGAAAACTGAATATCTCAAAAGACCTATCAATAGTTACAGTAAACTGGAGGGACAGTGAGGGAGTGATGGGGCAGTTAGTTTCCTACCAGGTTACTCTACAGTGAAATCTAATCTTTGACAAGTGTTACCTCTGCACCAAGAGCTTCCAATAAGTTTTTTTTTTTTTTTTGAGAGGTCTTTGCTATAGGGTGTGTGTGCTTGCCAGAAAGACAGAGAGACAGAGAGACAGAGAGACAGAAAGTAAGAAATCACCCCCCAGGGGGGATGGCCATGCCACAATCCCTTCTCCTCCATTCTCCTCTCAGGACCCTGGGCACACACGCACATACACCTGGCATGAGTTTAAACCACCGGGTCTGGGACTCGACTACATGGGAGTCCAGTGACATAGCCATTATGCCAACTGCTGGTCCCGAGCTTCTAATAAGTTTTATAGTGCCACAACCTTCTATTTTGAGGACAGTCAAAAGTTCCCCACACATTTGAGGGAAAGGCTTCAGGTAAAAAACAGAGAACAAAATCAAAACGAACAAATGAAAAAACAGAACTTGCTGGGAACAGAGGCAATGTGAAAGAGCAAAGGAAAAGACATTTAGGCTCCCTCCTCTAAATCACTCACTTCTTTAGTGAGATAGAGAAATATTATATCCATGTAAAAAACAAAAACAAGGCCTGGCTGGTGGTATGGTGGTTAAGGGCACTGAACTACCACATGGCCAACCACGGTTCAAGTCCTGGACTTGGCGGTTTGCTTTCTCACTTTTCCTCTCTCTCTTTCTCTCTCACTCATACTGTCCCTCTCTGGTCAAAATAAATAAATAAATAAATAAATAAAGTTAAATAAAATAATTCTTTGGGGGAAAAAATGGCCTCCCATTGTTCATAATTTTTTTTAAGAATTATTTATTATTATTATTTGTTTTAATTTGACCAAAGAAAGACAGAAAGAGAAAAAAGGAAAGTAGGAAAGCAAGCCTCCAGGTCCAGGACTCAAACCATGGTTGGCCATGTGGGATTCCAGCATCTTAACCATCATGCCACCTGCCTGCCCCATCCATGAACTTCTGGAAGTCCCTTTGTATTGTAGGCTGCAGGCCATCCTCTGTCCCTAATCTGTGATCACTGTAGGCAGACAATCTGTTTCTATTTCTTCCACTATCACCCACCATTTGAGTCCCTCTGTTCTGCCAAGAGACTCACTAAACATTCAATGGCCATAAATATTCATTCTACATTGTTTCCTCATTGTTTGTATATAGTAGCTAGAATATCTTCCCTTTAATTAAAATCAAATATATAAATATAAAACCAATATCAAACTTAAGTGATTACTTTCAACATCCAGAGGAAGTATCTCAACTTCATTGTAAGCTCATTGGGAGGAACTTCATTTGGTTTGCAGTAAGTGGAATAAATCTCCCAGCACTTGTCAATATAATGTATTGAATATAGTGTCCGCTGTTGCTCACTGAATAAATTGCCTAAAAATATAACATTCAAAAATTATTATAGAATTGTATTTAAAAAAAAATATGGTGGGTAAATATAACCCCATTACTTGTGTATTTACCTTTTACTTGGCAGGCATTTGGATGAATGTTCTCAGTCATCAGTTTTGTAAAACACAAAAAGAGTGATGGTCTTTTATGTCTGTGATTAAAAAGATATATAATGACTCCTCCCTCCAAGAGGTAGAACTTAATTTCTCTCTCCTTGAGTGTAAGCTAGACTTAATTTGTTTCTAATAGAGTATAGAAAGAGGAAAATAGTAACTTATAGTAGGAAAATCTGACACTATTTTAACCAAGTGATCAAGGCTAACATCGTAGAAATAAGACATATTAACATCATGTGACCCTTGATACGATGTGATGAGAAGGGCAATTCACTTCCGTAGTATCTTCCCCCAAATAACCCCATTACTTGTGTATTTACCTTTTACTTGGCAGGCATTTGGATGAATGTTCTCAGTCATCAGTTTTGTAAAACACAAAAAGAGTGATGGTCTTTTATGTCTGTGATTAAAAAGATATATAATGACTCCTCCCTCCAAGAGGTAGAACTTAATTTCTCTCTCCTTGAGTGTAAGCTAGACTTAATTTGTTTCTAATAGAGTATAGAAAGAGGAAAATAGTAACTTATAGTAGGAAAATCTGACACTATTTTAACCAAGTGATCAAGGCTAACATCGTAGAAATAAGACATATTAACATCATGTGACCCTTGATACGATGTGATGAGAAGGGCAATTCACTTCCGTAGTATCTTCCCCCAAATGCACAGCCTCAGTGTAATCATGAAAAACATCAGCAAACCAAAATCATGGGACATTTCACAAATAAGGTAACCGGTATAAATGTAAAGTCATGAAAGACAAAGCCTGAGAAACCATTACAGTTTAGTGGAAACTGAGAAGACATGACAGTCAAATGTGATGTGGGATCCTGGGTTAGATTCTGGAACATCAGGGGAAAAAATGAGACATCAGGGAGAAAATGAGAAATCCTAATAAAGTAATTTGTTTTGTTTTTATCTTTAACTACAGGGTCTTGCTATATTACAATCCTCCTGCCTCGGCCTCCTCAGTAGCAGGAATATAGGTATGCTACCACCATGTTCAGTGTTTTAGGTTGTGCTGGGAATTGAACCTGGGCATTCCATGTGACCACAGGCTGATGGGTAGCAGCATCAACCAGCACACACCACAGCTACTGGGCCCAAAGTCCCTGATTTAGTTAGTGGTCTTATAGCAATGCTGATGCCTTACTTTTGATAAAGGTACCATAGCTTTATGGCAGACGTTAATAACAGGGGAATCTGGGTGAAGGTTTAACCAGTACTAACTTGGTTACAGTTCTGTAAAACTATTTCAAAATAAAAAGTTAAAAAAAAAAAGATACTTTTGTTCTGAGCGAGACAAAATTTTCTGACTTAAGGAGGAAGGGTTAGTATTGATTATTTTTGAAAAAACTCCAAGAGTTATTTGTACTATTGAAATGACTCAAAAATGAAAAGTTATCAGTTTTAACCTATTTTCTAGTGGCTTTGTGATTAGTACTTGTGTAAAAGGCTATGTTTTTTTGAGAGACTTTTGCTAAAGGGTGTGTGTGCTCACCAGAGAGACAGGGAGAGAGAAAGTGAGCAATAACACAATCCCTTCTCCTCCATTCTCCTCTCAGAATTTTGGGCACACATGCATATGCGCCCAGTGTGAGTTTCAAGCCTCCAGGTCCAGGACTGAAACCATAGTTAGCCATCTGCTGGCCCCATACTTGTAGAAAAGTTTTGTTCTAGTCCTTCATTTCAAGAGTATGTAAGAACAATGACTAATGAAGAAAAGAACACAGCATTATTTCTATAGTAAATGTTAACTCTGTCCTTATCCCTTAGATGGGCCCCAAAATAGTACTTACTGGAATTCTTTGTGATGAATGTGGTAAGCCAGCTGCAGGAGATAATTCAAAAATGTCCTCAAAAGTATTGTTGTAAATGGAGAATGAATTTCTTCAACTGGTATGCCATTATTGACTACAATAAGAAAATGGGAAAGGATGCCTAGGTTTTTGCTAGAACCTTCTACTTTATTTTGTCTTGGTATATAACTACCTCAAAGAACTGAATGTGACAGAGAGTACCTACTTCCTAGAGCATATTCTGAAAAAATATATAAGCATCTGACTAAAAAGTACTTCATAAAAGATCTCTATCTGGTTACTTTATAAGAAACTTACAAAATACCTTGTCCCCAAAGATTTTTCAAAGTAGTCTGAACCACAATTTGATTGCTGCTGATAACTCTAAATATAAGTAAATTTCATATACTGAAGTATGAAATAAACAGATATTTTTCCTACTCTTATTTTTCAAATACATGATTTGAGGCTTTCAGTTCTGCCTCCCAAATTCAGCTAGGGAGTAAAATCTTCCAGGCTGTTAGATGAACTTTCTAATTTGAAATCAAGACCAATCCTAAGACTACTTAAAGCCTTTTCTAGACTATTCCAAACTCTCCCTGATCCTCCCTGTTTCTGGCATGACGATTTAGTGGTTTGGTTTGGTTTGGTCTGTTTGTGTACTATACATCCAGGAGAGGCAAACTTCTCTGTAAAGGGCCTGAAAGGAAGTGTATAGGGTTTTGTGGCCCAGACTGCTTCTGTCTCAGCTACTCAGCTCTGCTGGTGAAAGGCAAAAGCAGTCACAGACAGTGTGTCTAAACAGCCATGGCATTGTGTGCTAGTAAGGCTTTATTTCCAGAAACAGACTGTGAGCTGAATCTGGGCTGACAGTGAGCTCATATTTGACGGACCCCCGCTATCATTGATCTCTGACTGTTATTAATATTTCACAAGACTATTAACACCTTGAGAACAAGACTACATGCTGATTTCTGGGACACCTCTCCCAATACTTGCCTTCCCTACTCCCTCAACATTTCATTGCCAGCTGTTTGTAGGTAACATTATGCCAGCAATTCTTTAAACCAAAAGGTGTGAAGGACTTGGAATACTCACGACTTAATATCCTGTCCATATCAGCAAGAGTGATATTGTGGTGATGAAACTTGCAGTCTTTTAAAAATCTCCAGAAGTGAAGCTTTGTCATCAGAAAGGCATTATCCAGAGAGTGATCACATCCTAGGCTGCTGTAAAAGCTATAGATTCTTCTTAATTCTGTAATATTTCTTAAAATCGCATATTCTACCTGAAAAGAAGCCATGCATAGCTTAATCTTGCCTAATAAGAACAACTATAAAAATCTAACACCTGTTTTCTACATTAAATAACACATGCAAAGTAACAGCATTTACCTCTTACCACTTAATAGATCAATTAAATGTATTATTCTGCTTGCCCCCCTTCTGGCCAAAAAAATGCAATTTCTAAATAACTGTTAAAAATATTTAAAGTCGGGACCAGCAGTTAGCGTAATGGTTATGTCGTTGGACTTCCATGTAGTCGACTGCGGTTCGCGTCCTGGACCCGGTGGCTTAAACTCACGCCGGGCGCGTGTGCGTGCGTGCCCAAGATCCCGAGAGAAGAATGAAGGAGAAGGGACTGCGGCGTGGCCATCCCCTCTGGGGGGTGATTTCTTGCTTTCTCTCTCTGTGTCTCTCTCTGTCTGGCGAGAGCACGCACCCTATAGCAAAAACCTCTCCAAAAAAAAAAAAAAAAAAAGGAAAGTAGAATTCCTTTCATACTGTTGTGTGATCACATCTTATTTCAGTGGAAGCAATAAAATTCTATAGTCTACAGATCACTATCCCTCATGAACATAGGTACAAAAATCCTTGACAAAATAAACTGAATCTAATGATATATAAAAATAATAATACACCAACACCAAGTGGGGTTTATCCTCGGATTGCAAGAATGTGACATTTGAAAATAATTCACAATACCAAGAGACTGAAGAATGAACACATCAATTGATGTGTTCGACAAAAATGAACATGGATGGGGGCCAGAAAGTGATGCTCTGCAGGGTGGACCCACATGGGAAGGTTACCAATTAGTGTCCAGAGACCTCCCCAAGTACACTGGGAGCATGTGTGCCTATTATCCAGGGTTGGCTGGAGTTGGATCAAGACCCTGTCAGACAGACTCTGTCTGTCTCTGTCTCTCACTCACAAATAGAATAAATTATTTTGAAAACTTTTTAAAAATTAACATACATTCATAATAAACACACTCAAAAAAATAGGAGCAGAAAGAGATGCCTTAAGCTAATCAACAACATGTTTTAAAAAAAACATATAACTAATATACTTAAGTCTGAAAGTCTAAAATGAGGAATATTCCCACTGATTGCTTCATTAACCTCCCTATCTATCTCCATTTCACTTTTTAGTATTTTCCCAGACCCACACCATCCTTATGATGCCCCAGATCCCCCCATCCATGCAACTCTGTAACCTACGTCATGTCTGGCCTCCAAAGCCACTGACTACATGCCTCACTCTCTTAAAGGCAGCATTCAGAGAATGTGAAGAGCAGTATTGGAGGTTCTCAGGGTGGGAGAAAAGCCTCACCTTGGCAGTTGCATCAGTTTAAAATTTTAATTAGATAACACTTATATCCACCCTATCAAAAAAGCATTGTTCTAGAGCACAGCACAGAATCTGTTTTCATGAAACATAAAATCTAGTAAAGAACACAAGAAGCACACATAGTAAGGAAGTATGAGGGGAGGTCCTCAAAAGTTCATGAAGAGTTAGCCGGCGCAGAGTTGGTTGAGGTGGCTGGATCCCACATGGCCCCCTGAGCATTTCAAGTCCCAGACCAACCAACAGCTTGAGTAAAACCCACCAGGCACATGTGTCTGCACGCCCAAAATCCTGACAGAATACAGACTGGAGCAAACAGGATTATAGCATGATCATGCCCCATTGGGGGTGCTTTCCCTCTCTCTCTGACAAGTTGACAAGTACATGTTGCACTCTGGGGAAAAAAAAAAAAAAAGGTGAGGGAAGGAATGTTCATAAAAAAATTAAAGTATTGCAACCAGTAGATGGCACAATGGTTACATCACTGGACTCCTACATGACACCCCCCCAAGAGGAGAAAAGAGGAGAAGGGATTGCAGCATGGCCATCCCCTCTAAAGGGGATGGATGATTTCTTGCTTTCTGTCTCTCTGGTGAGTGCATGTCCCTATAGCAAAACTCTCTCTTAAAAAAAATGTTTAAGTGTGAGTTTATTTTGGTGCAATCAAATTTAAAATCCATGCATAGTTTTTTCTTTTTTTAGAGAGTTTTTTGCTATAGGGCGCGTGTGCTCGCCAGACAGACAGAGACAGACAGAGAGACAGAAAGCAAGAAATCACCCCCCAGAGGAGATGGCCACACTGCAATCCCTTCTCCTCCATTCTCCTCTCGGGATCTTGGGCACGCATGCACACGCACCTGGCATGAGTATAAGCCACCGGGTCGAGGACACAAACCGCGGTTGACCACATGGGAGTCCAGCGACATAGCCATTACGTTAACTGCTTGTCCCCATAGTTTTTTCATAATACTAATTTTCTACGAATGTGTTGAAGATCCTCATATATATATATATAAGAATTATTATATATGGGAGAGAGAAAAACAAGATAAGCAATATGATCCTTTTTTGGTAAGTTAATACTTACTAATTTACAACATATGTTGGGGTCAACAGGTGGCATAGAAGTTAAGGTGACTGGATTCCACACAGTCGACTGCATAGTTTGAGTTCCTGTCCTAGTGGCTTGATGCTATATGTGTGTGTGCATTGCATGCCCAAAATCCCAAGAGAAGAATGGAAGAGAAGGAACTGCAGCATGGCCATATCCCTGTGAAGTAATTTCTAACTTTCTTTTTCTCTGTCTCTCTTAGGAAAGTGCACATTCTCTACAGCAAAATTTTAAAAATAAAATTTAAAATATCTTATGTTGGGACCAGCAGTTAAGTGTAATGGCTATGTCACTGGACTCTCATGTAATCAACTGTGGTTAGAGTCCTGGACCCACTGGCCAGAGAAAGAATGAGGGAAAGTGAGAGAGCAAGCCACCAGGTCCGGGACTTGAACCATAGTCCACCATGTGACAGTCCAGCACATTAACCACCGTGCCACCTGCTGGCCCCGAGTTCTTTATTTTTAACAGTAACCTTGCAGCAAAGATGAATGCTCCTAGGAGCCTGAATTACAATGTTGGCCATGAAACAAAAATTGGGAGGATGGGTTTCTTTGGAGGCCCAAAGAACCAAGAGCCACATGAGGCAGGGATGAAGGAAAAGGGTCAAGATGCTTTGTAGTTCTGAGGTACCAACAGTTCCCTTAGAGTAGAGAGCAATTTTTTAAGGGAGGTGGGGGGGTTGCCATAGGGTATGCACGCTTACTGGAGAGACAGAGAGAGGGAAAGTAAGGAACCACCCCCCAGGGGAAATGTGAACAACACAATCCCTTCTCCATTCTCCTCTCAGGATCTTGGGCATGCTCATAAACACACCTGGTATGATCTTCAAGCCACTGGGTCTAGGACTCAAAGGGCAGTTGACCATGTGGGAATCTAGTGCCTTAACCACCACATCACTGACCTAGAAAAGAGCATCATTAACAACAGTTTCACAGAAGAAAAAATCAACCCCCATCAAAGTAAGAGGTCATGGCTCTAAAATATAATGTCATGGCTGTGATTTGTCAAATATGAATCAAATGAAGTCCAAGTACACATTATTTTCTCTTAAGTATTTCTGGATGTCTAATGATTTCTTTTTTATATAAGAATTATTTTATTTAACTTTATTTTTTAATTTGGCCAGAGAGGGGTAGAGTGAGAGAGAGAGAGAGAGAGAGGGAGAGAAAGTGAGAAAGCAAGCCACCAGGTCCGGGACTCAAACCAAGGTCAGCCATGTGTGAGTCCAGCACCCTTCATCACCACGCCACCTGCCAGCCCTAATGTCTAATGATTTCTAAGGGCTTGAAGTTATTTTGAACCCAAGTAGTCCATAATAATGCCCAACAGAATTAATGTCCCACTGAGATGGGGTGGCCACAGCCTTGGTTAATTTGCCAAGTCTTCCATCTGGGCTTCCATTTTCTCATAGGGTTCCTTTGGAAATTCAACAAAAGCAAAGAAAGCATATTATCAGGGATATAAAGGATATTTAATACATGATAGAAATCACAGCTGTAATTTCTCAGGACTATGGAGACTTCATTAATATTTAAGCCTAAAATATACATTTATAGGGGATCAGAAAATGACATAATGATTACATTGCTGGACTCCCATGTAGTCAACTGTGGTTCAAATCCTAGAGCCAATGAATTGAAACCCACACTGAGCACATGTGCGTGCATGCCCAAAATCCCAAGAGGAGAATGGAGAAGAAGGGACTGCACTGTGGCCAACCCCCCAGGGAGTGATTTCTTGCTTTCTGTCTGTCTCTCTCTCTAGCAAGCAAACGTGTCTTATAGAAAAAAAAAAAACAAAAACTCTATCTAAAAAAACAAAAAAAACAAAAACACGCACACTTACATTTATAACAATACAGAAGATTTTTACCTGCTTCTTTTCTTCTGCTCGGTCTTCCTCAGGGTACATGTCCAGCAACAAATTTAGATTCAGTTCAATGCTTGATCCTAATACAGGATGACTTTCAGTACCATCAAGCTTTCTGATAATTTCTAGCAAATGAAGGCAAAAAAGGGGGGATAATTCTAAAAAGTGGTGTTAAATGTTTCAATGTTATATCAAAATGATTTCCCACCGGGACCAGCAGTTAGTATAATGGCTATGTTGCTGAACTCCCATGTAGCTTACCGCGGTTTGAGTCCCAGACACGATGGCTTAAAGTCACGCCAGGTGTGTGTGTGTGCGTGCCCAAGATCCCAAGAGGAGATGGAGGAGAAGGGATTGCAGCAGGGCCATCCCCACTGGGGGGTGATTTCTCACTTTCTATCTCTCTGTCTCTCTCTGTCTTTCTGGTGAGCATATGCGCCCTATAGCAAAAACCTCTCCAAAAAAACAGAGAGATCCCACCAAAATGTTGACACAAGGGTATTCATGAAGAGCAGAGTCATAGCCTTGTGATTAAATGAGCCAGATCCCACACAGCCAACCAGGTACATATCCCAGCCCTGGAGGCTTAAAAATCATGCTAGGCATGTGCCCCAAATCCCAATGAAATGAAGACATAGAGGAGAGCGGATCTGGGAATGTCCATATCCCAAGAGGCTCTGCTTTCTCTCTCTGTACCTTCTGGCAATTAAAAATTTTAGGAAAATAAAAAAGCTACTAAGCAAGCAGTTGCACACAGGAAACTTTTGAAGTGTTAGGTCTGTTTTCCTGGTTTCCACATGCCATAGAACAAAATAAATGACTGTTTTCAACTGACAACTACCAGCACTAACGGAAGATCTGCGTTGCCTGCCTCTTTGGCAGGCAACTTCTGAAGGCAGTTCCAGGTAATTCATAGATTCAGCTTCATAGTCTGGGAACTGTGCTATGTGGTCATTGGAAAACAAGCCTTCATATACACGTCCATTCTTGAAAGTTAATCGGCCCTGCAGACAAAACATATTTGTAGTTTAGGGCAAGTTCTCCTAGAAAAACATCAGTAAATGTATACCGATAGCTTTTTCGAAGGTTTAGAGCTTTTGTTTGCTTGGTTTTGTTTTAATTTTAAAAGTTTTTATTCATTTATTTCTTCCATGAGAGAGACAGAGAGAAAGAGACAGCACTCTCAGTGGGGTCCCAATACCATAGTTCACCCCGGCCTCTGCCATTCCCAGATCATGAGTATACACGTGCTCAGCATACTCAGAGGTCTCTGGGCAAAAACCCCAAACCTTCCCATGGTCAGCCTCTCAAAGCATCACATTTTATTACTGTACCATCATCTGCTGCCATTTATTTTCAAGATACACACATATAGGACAGCACACATATAACCAGGCTCCTAGAATCTCACATCACTGTGTAAATCCTCTCTCTCTCAACTCCTCCTCCTTCTGTTCCTCTTCCCCCTTGCGTCTCTTCTCTTCTCTCACTACATATGCCCCCACCCAACAACCTTTCCCCAACTGTAAGCACCTCTAGGTCACAGACTGATCTTATTAAACTGCACTAGTGACCAGTAGAGTACCTATCACACAACAGAAACTCTCCTGACATTTGTTGAACCCAGGCCAATGATCACTAATTCAAAGGTGGTCAAATGATTCAATTCAGCTCTGTAAAATGAAAGATATTTGTAGGCATTTCTAGGAAAAGTTTTTTCTCTTCTTCCAGTTAGTGTGAAATGTCGATGTGAAGCCTGGAGCCACAGCAGCCATTTTACATCATCAGGGATGGGTAATACTAGAGTATAGCTGACTCGGTGGGAGCTAACTGTAGATACATGAAAGAGAAATCCTGGCATCACTGAGTCACTGAATCAAACCAGCCTAGAAGCTCACATTATATGGCAGATTAAACTAGACTCTTATTTGCAGCCCAAGCCACCCTAATCTACACATATACATCCACACATCCACATATAACATAAATAAAAATGGCAAAGCAAGGCGGCCCACCCGCGCCCGGCTGCGGG